CTTCCCCGGTCGAGCCGACCCAAATATGCTATAACTATACTATTAATATAGCTGTAGCATTGCTCTACCACGTATAATTTTTATATTTGGGTAGAGATCATAGTCGCAAACTACGATTGTAGAAACCACGCAGTTAGGAAATTTTGTACCAGTATTTTCTTTGAGCTCCCGTTTACATTTTGAAATTCATAGCTAATACTATGTAAAGAGAATGGCAGCAGGAACACTCAAGAAATAGGAATAACATTCTGATAGTTTCTTCACATTAAGATCTTCTTCTGTATATTCAGATTTTGGCATAAAAATGCCTAATCCGAACATGTTCATCGTATCCGCAGAAAGTCGATTCTGGTTGTCAGTCATTGAGCTGTCTATGAGTGGAATATACACAGTCCTCCGAAAATATTCCTCGTCATTTCCTTGATAATTATTGCGAAGTCTGTCAGTAATTTTAGAAGATTTTTCAATTTCATGTGTACGCGATTTGGGGGGGGGGGGTTTGTCATGTCCCCTGTGATCCTGCCCTTCGGACCGCGCCTGGGAGTCGATGGATGCAGGTGGCTCAGAACCGTGCTTTGTGGCATTCCTTGGGGGAGGCCTATGTTTAGCAGTCGGCTTGTGAAGGGCCGTAATGATGAATGATGAAAAACCACATTGCTTGATAATTTTCCTTCGCTGCAGTGTCGGCAAAACGAAAAATGTAATTTTTGTCAGATATTAATACAATTCTAACTTCAACCTAACTTCATCGATTTATTGATGCATCATCATTACAGCCCTTCACAAGTCCACTGCTAAACATAGGCCTCCCCCAAGGAATGCCACAAACCACGGTCCTGAGCCACCTGCATCCATCGACTTCCTGCATATCTTACCAGGTCATCACTCCATCGAATGGGGGAACGCCCTACACTTCGTCCGCCGGTACGAGGCCACCACTCGAGAACCTTTTTTCCCCATCGACTGTCGGTTCTTCGAGCTATATGGCCAGCCCATTGCCACTTCAGCTTACTAATCCGTTGGACTATGTCGGTCACTCTGGTTCTACTGCGGATATACTAATTTCTAAGTTTATCACGCAGAGAAACCCCGAGCATAGCCCTCTCCATAGCTCGCTGAGCGACCTTGAGCTTCCTCATCCGGCCAGCAGTGAAGAACCACGTCTCAGTACCATAGGTCATCACTGGCAACACGCAGTGGTTGTACAGTCTCTTTTTCAAGTTTTGAGGTATACCTGACGAGAAGATGTGCCGTAATTTCCCGAACGCTGCCCAACCGAGTTGAATCCGTCGATTGACCTCTCGGTCGAAGTTGGACTTACCTAGTCGGACTATTTGTCCCAGGTAAACATACTCGGTTGTCGGTTCTTCGAGCTATGTGGCCGGCCCACTGCCACTTCAGCTTACTAATCCGTTGGGCTATGTCGGTTACTCTGGTTCTACTACGGATATCCTCATTTCTAAGTTGACACAGTGACACCCCGAGCATAGCCCTCTCCATAGCTCGCTGAGCGACCTTGAGCTTCCTCATGCGGCCAGCAGTGAAGGACCACGTCTCAGATCCGTAAGTCATCACTGGCAACACGCACTGGTTGTACAATTTCGTTTTAAGGTTTTGAGGTGTCTGACGAGAAGATGTGTCGTAGTTTCCCGAACGCTGCCCAGCCGAGTTGAATCCGTCGATTGACCTCTCGGTCGAACTTGGACTTACCTACTCGGACTATTTGTCCCAGGTAAATAATACTCGTCAACAACTTCGAGCTTAGTGCTCACAACAACTACCGGCATAGGTGTGACATGGACATTAAACATGATCTTTGTTTTGTCCATGTTCATCTTAAGACCTATCCGTTGGGAAACACTATTGAGGTCATTGAGCATAGTGCTTAGGTCCTCCAGCGATTCTGCCATAAGGACTATATTGTCGGCAAATCGAAGGTGAGTGATGTACTCGCCATTGATGTTAATACCGTATCCTTTCCAGTCCAGAAGCTTGAAAACGTCTTCCAATGCGCGGTGAAGTTTCGGGGATATAACGTCACCCTGTCTTACACCTCTCTGCAATTGGATAGGTTTCGTACTCTGGTTCTGTACTCGGATTGATGCATACATACGCATATATGTATCACGCATAATGATTGATTAAATCAGCTGAGAAGAAACCATTACTGAGCTTAATGTTAATGTTTAGAATGTATGATTTTTTTTTTTATTCATACATATAATTTTTTATAGAGGGGGCAAACGAGCACGTGACTCTCCAGATGGTAAGTGACTACCGCCGCCCATGAACAACCGCAACACCATGGGAATTGCAGATTTTAGAAAGGTGTAAGCTCTTTTCTTGAAGGTCCCTAAGTCGTATTGGTCCGGAAAAATCGCCGGTGGTAAACAATTCCACAGAGAAGTTGTGCGAGAAAGAAAACACCTAGTAAAACGCACAGTGGTGGACCGCCATCGCTATCGTGAATTTTGACGCGATGTGCGTTCGTGAAATTTGGCGGCTGGAATTAATCTGAACGAATCAGAGCACTCTCAGTTGATGATTCGAACCGCTCTGCGCTGGATGCGGCCAAGTGGAAGGAGCTGGCACTGAGGTGGCCCGGACTAAAGATGAGAAAAGTATTCTATGTTAGACCGAACTTCTGCTTTGTAAAAATTGCAAGCGTTGTGCCGGCATGAGATACTGTCTCGCTCTACTGAGCACGCCAAGCTTTTTAGAAGCCAATTTGGCCTTCCCTTCCAAGTGACCACGAAACTGCACACTATTCGATATATCGACGCCGAGGATTCCGATGCTAGCTGAGGCAGCAAGGGGAGTGCCTTGAAACTGAGGAGATACGACAAAGGGGTTCTTTTTAGCGGTAAACGCGCAAACTTGAGTCTTCTGGGGATTGAACTGGAGTAGATTTAGTCCCCCCAATCCGAGACTTTGTTCAGCAAAGACTCGGCGACAAATAAATAATTTCCCGAGAAATATTGGCACGGCCAGTGTATAAGGCATCACCAGTGCTTTCGTCTGCATAGCAATAAATTTTACCAGCTTGCAAGCGTTGGTAATAGCACCCAGCCTTGTGGAACACCAGCGTTAGTAGGCTTGTAATCAGAGCATGCACCGTCTACTAAGACCTTGATGCTCCGATCAGCAAGAAAAGTGCTGATCCAATTCCACAATTTCTCGGGAAGCCCATAGAGGAAGGGAGCTTCGAAAGAAGCGCTTTGTGCCAGACACGACCAAAGGCCTTCGCTATGTCCAAACTAACAGCCAATGCCTCCCCCTTGGACTCTACTGCCTCCGCCCATCTACAAGTCAGGCAGACCAGAAGATTACCAGTTGATCGACCCCGACGAAAACCGTATTGGCGATCACTAATCAGCTGGTGATCCTCAAGGTACCTCATGAGCTGGCAGTTTACAATAGACTCCATTATTTTGGAGAACAAGTAGGTAATGGCGATAGGCCTGTAGTTGGACGGGTCTGAGCGGTCGCCTTTTTTAGGGATCGGGTGGACCAAAGCTGTCTTCCATGAATTCGGAACTACGGAAGTAGGAGTACCGGAAAAGACGCGTTAAAACCGGTACCAACTCCGAAATACTTCACTGACCCGGAGGCGGAATTATACTTCTTCTCTTTTCTAAGAAAGCTGGTATTTACATCTCGAGACGTTGATGCGTCAGCCCAGGACCGGTAGCACTCCCGTTTATAGCGTCATGCTATTTTACAGGAGCGACCAAACCATGACTGGGATCTGCCTCTGATGGGCACCACAGAGGAGGGAATAAAAAGTTCCATACCCTGAAGTACCACATCAGCAACAGAATCAGCAACAACGCTAGTATCTTCCGGCGAGAAGCAAACCCGCCTCCAAGCGTAGGATGCAAAAAAGACCGCATCCTGTCCCAATCGGCCGACTTATAGAGCCAAGCACGGCGGCAGCCTGCAGAATGCAATCGCGACGTTAGTGTGAGTGGCACCACACTCCGGACAAGACAATGGTCCGACGAGCCTAAAGGAGCGTCGACGGAAACCTGATATCCGTCGGGATGAGAGGTCAGCAGAAGGTCCAACAGGAAAGGTTCATGACGCATCAGTCTGGAATCCGCGTAGGCGAAATAACCAGCTGTGTAAGACCATATGCCAAAGTAAATTCATAAATAGATCTCTCCGCATGATCGGTTGAACGTGAACCGAGAAATTCGGCGTGGTGGGCGTTAATATCACCAAGGATCACGATCTCTACGGATGGGATGCTCTAACAAGGATATAGCGCACACTCTATTAAATAATTTGAATTAATTTGGCTAAATATAAAACCCAATTTTTTTACATGTCGGTAAATCTCTATATAAAAGTTGATCAATGTGCGTTCAGCCATTTCAGTGTGGAATGAAAATTCTACTTGTAGAATTGTGCTAAGTGCTAAACAACTATCTCAAAATAATCGTGCTTTTTCGTGATCAAAAGTATAATGTCGTTTCATTCCAAGAGCTAAGTAAGATATTTAATTTAATTTCGTTAAAATCCGGTCACAATTACGCTCCAGATATACCTCACCGGAGTCATTCATTTTTCCGTGATTAAAGGTATAAAAATATCTAACAAAATAATATTACCTAGTTATTGGAAGCTTGTTTGTATTTCCTGTCAGTTATTAAACTATGATAAAACAAGTTGCATAGTATGAGTGCATTTTAATGAAAAAGCCAGATATAATTGAAAATATTTGAATTTTAAAAGAAAACTTTTTTTGGAAATCTATTACTCTACAATCGAAATTACGTATAAAGTTACTAAAATTGCAAAACTCAAACGTTTAAAAATAAAATGTAATGATCGGCGATAGAGAGGTAATACGTGAAAGCAGACAGTTTTCAAATATAAAAACTCAAATTATTGTCAAGTCAATGTCATTATTATAAACACTGAAATGACATATTAGGTACATACGTTATGTAAAAATACGAGTTATTTTTATTTACCTTTTATATTATATCAATAAAATGGTTACATCATCAAAACATATAGTTTTTGGATCAGGGGTAAAAAGATTCGGCAAAAACACCGGTCATCCTAATTTAGATCCCAGTGGACTTCACGTTAAGAGACCTGATGGTTGTGATCCTTGTCTTTATCATCCACAACCTATTAATGAAATATTTGACTTTAGAAAACGTTACAAAAAGAACATTGACCCGTGGAGATACAAAAGTGAATTAGAAGATTGGTCAAAAAATCTGGGCTACAGAAACCAAAAAATACTTGAACAAAAGAGATGGTTTGATTCCATATTAGGCCCAGCATGGCATACTATATCAGAACCCGCTAAATATGAGGCTGCCTGTAAAAATGTTGGTTTCGGGAGAACAATTCGATTTAGGTCGACAACTAATACAAGCCCTAATCCAGGTACTTATTATAAAGCTGTACCTTTTAAATCGCTCTTTGGGCCACACTCAAGTAAACCAACATTTGAGATGAGAGAACTATGCAGATTCAAAGATAAATCTCCAAAATGGTCGCTACCACCAAATCGTTACCATATTATAGATAAAGACAGCATTCAAGAAAAATCTAAGAAATTAGTATCTCGAAGAGGGCCTTACGATTTATTCACTGGGGTGCGTGATGAAAGTACAATAAAAACTCATTTTAATACACCTTCAAAGTGTTCTGCTGCTACCTGGCCTGTCGCTCTTGAAGGAAGTTTAGAAACGTATAAAAAATCACATTTCGGCGTAATGAATAAAACCAATAGAGAGAAACCTTGCAGAAGCCGTAATACACTAGTCGATTTAGCAATGTGCCTGCGGAAGCCAGAAGAACCGGGACCGGCGGACACAAATATTGATAAACCTAAAATTTTTAAGCAAAACAAGTACGGATTCAACAGTTCAGATGATAAGCCCCCTGGATATCAACGCGCCTTAGTATGGCCTGCTGTGGGACGATATAATATTAAAGGAATTACTTGCGGAATAGTAGGTCAGGGACATCGCCATATATTTTTAAGTAAACAAAGTAGAACAATTGGCGCAATTTTACCAAAACCAATGAACTCTTTCTAAAAGAACTGGTACCTAGAACTTATGTTACCATTTTAATAAACATCTTAGTAATAACTCAGAAAGTTAGTCTACAGGATTATTCAAAATTCAGCTACTAAATAAAAAACATTTATTTGCAAAAGTTTGTTTCAATTGAGGAACAAATCTAAATAACTATTCATAAACAGCTACTAATTAATTAATGTGACTAACAACATTTTTATTTACATTACTCAACAATGCTGAGAAATGTGAGATAAGTTTAGTTTTGCTCCCCAATCTTTCATTCCTCTTTATTGTAATATTCACTTAAAATGAAATACAATTACATTTTTACATTTTAGAATTAGTATTTATAAATCGCATTTGGGCGACCATTTTGATTTCATATAACATTAAAAAAAATAAAGGCCCAAACACGCCGGCAATTAACATTACCAATCATAACAATTACTAAACTATATACAATCTAACTTCAAAGCGAAGATTAGCACTGTATTACTGCTATTTTTGTGAAAAGTAAGGTTTTATTCTTACCAGTAAATATTTATTTAATTATTAATATACAAAACAAATTAGTGTTGCAAATAACAGAACACTCATTGTGTGGATTATTCCTAAGCTAATCCTAACACGAATGCCGATAAGCTAATATAATATCTAAATAAATTTAAGCACATAATAAAGAGACAGTGCTCCTAAACTTTACACGGTTCCCTTTATCAAGTATTTTACTAAGCAAGCATATATAACAACATCTGTATGTGTATTATTATAATCATTTGAAATGTGTAGATTGAAATCGAAACTAACAAGTTTGCATAAATAATAGGCGGATGATCAACTACATTTACACAAAGGCAATTTATTTTGAACAAACCCTACAATCATCATGAGAAACTATTTACGGAATAATATTTTGTTTCGTAAATGTTATGTGTACAAATAATTATAATCAGTTAGTTTCGAAGCGAACATAAGGTGTGTATATAAATTTAATATAAGAATTTTTCAGAAGGCCTGCTTCTAACATATTGCTCAAAACCAACTTTAAAGGCTCGCAGATATACAAGGATTACAAGAATATCTTACGTATAGAAAATATTTTACAAATAATTTTAACATACGACACAATCAACATCAGACACGGTAATCACTAGCTTTTTAACCCCCGATAAAAACAGAGGGATGCTATATGATTGTAGTGTGTGTTTGTGTATATGTGTATCTGTGTGTTTGTCTGTGGCATCATGGCTCCTGAACGGATGAACCGATTTTGATTTAGTTTTTGCCGTTTGAATGGGGTCTTAATCTAGTGTCTCTTAGCTATGTTTCAAGAAAATCTGTTCAGCCGTTTGACGATCATGAGCTCTTTTTGTTGCGGGAGTTTTTAAATATTTTAATTTTAGTTATCATTAACAATTTTTTTTAGATATCAATGCACAACGAACCAAATGGAACGGATACTAACAATTAAAAATTACATTTAAAACTTGACAAATTTTTTTGTCTATCCACTCTTTCAACTGCATGAAACTATTTTGTAAGTACTCGTACAGTATGATAATTATTATACATTAATTGTCTCGTCTGTAATATATTGAAGAGTTGTAATTTACATATAATTGACACATAAGACACGCAACAAATCTTTAGTTTAATATAACAGTATCTGACTTCTTAATATTTACAATTCAGCGATTATAAACGTATTTTTAAATTTACATACAATACATTTACATAATATTTTATTGATAAGAAATATGTTACAAACAATGATGTAATGTAATGACTTTTGAACTAGTATAAATTTTATACATTTTGATATTGAGTTTTACTTGAAAATAGTAAGTTGTTAATAATCAACTAACTAATAGTACTTTAATGAATCATGCATAACAGTCATAAACATCATATATTTTTCATCTCAGAACATCTCAGGAAACGAACTATATACAAATATCATTTTATTGTAATTAATATATATGTCAAAACATTTAAAAAATATATCAACGAAAATTTCAGCAATACATCAGTAACCTTAGCACAAGTTTATCACACTAACGTTTCCCTAGATTATATAGAAGTTGAATGACTCTCCTGGCATACGTGAAAAGAACTGCCTTGTCATATAAAATCACTCGATAGCGATACAAATAGAAAACTCATACTTAAGCTGCTTGAGCTGTTCGACTAACAGACAGGATAGAGAAAGTTTTTCTTTTCTTTTTCTTAAAAAAGAGCCTGTGTTGTCTTATTATAAAACTTAATATATTTAGTCTTGGGTCTGCACTATGGTTTATGATGTCTTTGTCATGACTTTGAGAGGACTTTAGCCGAACGTCCACCGCGAACTAAACTATTTGAAAACTAGACTCGGTGAACTAAGCTAAGCTAACCTGCAAAATCGTTGCACGTCCACCGAAAAATAAGCTAAAACAAACAACATTAAGCGAAAGGCGTCAGAGAGGTAAGGTAAGGGGGTGAGAGGCGCTTAACTTAGTTCGCGTAGTTTCGGATCGGCCTACACAACTAAGTTACTTTGACTATTTTATCTAGCTTAGCTGGCATAGTTTGCTGTGGACGCACATGTATGGAAAACTGGCTCAGCTATGCGAGCTAAGATAAACTAAGTTAGTTTTAGTTTGCGGTGGACATTCAGCTTTTAACTAAATTTGACATTTGCTGACAAATCCATCCATCCTTTATATTTTGGTTCGCATATTTTCTACCAAACTTTATTTTCGAATCAAACTGTAATTTTAAACCCGAGACAAATTATTAACTACTATGTAAAAGTAAGATGCTCATTACAAAAAAAAAACATGCAGCCGAATTGTAAACCTCCTCCTTTTTTGAAGTCGCCAAAAAGATGACTGATTGAAAATATTGCTTTTAACCGGTTCAGTGCGGGTGACACGCCAGGCGTGCCATCGATTACTTTTGTGTGTGGCGTATGACACGCAAATCGTTATAACTCGCTCAAATTGCTTTTTTGGAAAATTTATCCAGAACAAAATGTTCATTATTTTGCGAGTAGTTCATGCATGCAGCTTAGTTTCTATATTTTGAAAATTTGAAATTTTTAGGTGTGCGTTTACATGGTACTATTTTTACTTTGTGAGTCTTAAAAATCATGTTATGGAAAAATTGTCTAATAAGTAACAAATAATAACACTCATTGCGATCGCTCACAAACTCAAGTTGTAAATAAATTTCTGGAAAACAAGTCTCCTGTTAAAAAAAAAACAATTCGTTTGTCTTATTGTTTGATTTTGCTTAAAATGGTTGAACTGCTGTCTTATTACTATCATATGGCCGAATAGACCTTACCATGTGCTCTTGTGATATGGTATAAGGTTTAGTTTTGCTTGAAACAGTTCGAAACCGTTCATGCATAAAAAAAGTTCGCTAATAAATAGTCTTTTGTCAATCCGCCGCCGTATAGCGCCGGCGTTTTTTTCCTTTTGAAATCAGTTGTTTTGCTATTCTTACTAATTAGACGTTTTCAGATAGACTTTACTTTTACATTTGAATAACAGTAAATAATATTTAACATTTGTAAATATATGAATGATATAGCTTTTTTTTTCAAATTAAGGTTCTACATTGTTTGATATTTACAAAGATTATTATTAGATGAAAATTTAATTTAATAAAAACCAAGGTTTCCAGGGTGATTTAGCTGTACCTACTTATATAAACGATTTTTTTATAACAACAAAAAATAGTACAAAAGGTTTGTAATCTCTTCATAAAAAAGTCACTCTCAATTTCAAAGAAAACGCATAAAAAAACACGTAGTTACACACTAAAAACAAATATCCTTCCATTTGTAACTTATGTTTGATGTCAAATAAACTTAATTAGGTCTAAACTAGTTAAAAAAGCATAAAAAAGAACATTACTTTTACACATGGCGGATGGCACAATAGGCGTGTCATGAAATATTTGTTCGCCGCCACAGCTAAAAGTTGTCGAAAATTGGTGCCGCAACGAATCGGTTAAACACGCCTAAGACACGGCACCAGTCCAAGTTTTTAATCAAACAAGCTTGCTTTTACAACATTTCAAACATTTGTATTTCTCTCGTTCTCTCGAGACTAAAATCTCTAAGATTATCACAGTGTGAGCAACATGTTAGACATATTACTATAACAAAAAAAATGGTATGTAAATCATTAAATTAAAGGGTTGGATTATGAATTAGAACCTGTTTCATAGTAGAGGTCACTAGCTTAGTAAGGCTACAGCACGAGTGGGACGACTCGACCGGGAAAGGACATCATTTGCACAGAATACTTGGATGAAACTGCAGCAAGACGCTACTTTGTTTCATATAACCTTATAAGGGGTTATATACCCTTTTTACTGCTAACGAGCCATTCCATGCAGGGATAACAATGCATCAAAATTAGTGCATTGGTTTAAGGTTAATAATCTACATTTAAACGGCAATAAAACTAAACGTATTAAATTTACAACAACATATGTTAAAAATCTGAATACCAATGTGTTTTTAAATGGGGAGGAAATGAGCCCTTTTGAATCCTCTGTTTTTCTTGGCATCACTCTCGACGCAAAGCTTTAGTGGGGTCCCCATATATACAAACTAGCAAGCAGACTAAGTTCTGCAGCTTATACTGTAAAAAAGATTATAGATCTCACTAGACAGCTAGATTATTTCATTTATTTCCAAAGCATAATGTCTAATAGGATTTTGCTATGGGGAAATGCGGCTGATTTTGAAACTATTTTTGTTTTGCAGAAAAGGGCTATAAGAACTATTTACAACCTTAAACTGAGACTTCGAGAAAAATTTAAAGAAATAAATATATTAGCCTCTCAGCAAATTTACGAAATTTTAATGTATATTCACAAAAACAATGAGTTTTGGTAAAATAAGTGATTTTGACTTAGCACGCACTGCGGTTAAACGCACGCGTTTAACCGCACGTCGGAAACTGCAAATAAATGTAACACATAGCAACTTTTTTCAGTGACTGATTTAAAAAACGTAACTTGCTACATTTGGATCGCGCTTTCTAAGCGCGCAAATTTTATGTGTCCCGTAGTAATAGTATGGCGGCGCACGCACAGCGGTTAACCGCGTTCGGTTTTTTATTCAGTGATTCAGTCTTAACTAGGCGAGCGCAGAGGACAGTCGATATTTGCGATGCTAATCTAGAGGTTATTTCATGTCGTCTGACTCAGAAACAATGGCTTTAGACTACGATAATGTGTCTAAAAACATTATTATTGAAGTGGAAAAAAGGCCAGCATTATATTATGACAAATCGTTGAATCAATACAGAGACAGAAATACCTTGTCACAAGTGGATTTACCCGGTATTATTTTTTTTATAGGAGAGGGGGCAAACGAGCATGCGGCTCACCTGATGGTAAGTGACTACCGCCGCCCATGAACAACTGCAACACCAAGGAGGGAATTTATGGCGGCGACGTTGTTTACGTTTTCTATTTCTTAATTTAAAAACCAAAGCCACAACACACGCTACACCCCTGGAATCCATGGTGGTACTGAAATAAAATTAAGCAAAACGCCAGCCGCAGTGCGTGGTTGTATGCGGTTTTGCGTTTTCAGCTGTTCCTAAACCGCGCGCGTTTAATCGCAGTGCGTGCTAAGCCATACACTGTGTAAACACTAGGAATAAACACAAACTAGTACCAGTCTCTCGACTCCACAGTCAGTAATTCATTCTTGGGGCAATGTATACGCTAAAGAAAATCTCAGAAAATATACAAGGTCTATTACCAAGCTTAAATATTTAATTAAATAAGAACTGTATAAATAGGGTCATTTATACGACAGCCTCAGGCACCAATACATATGGCGGAGCCTTGAACAACAAGGGGTCCAGAGCAACTATACAGAAATACTTAAGAGTATATACAAATCTAGCAAGGCCAGTATTAAACTAGAATCAACAGGAGAACCATTTCCTATCAAAAAGGGTGTACGCCAAGGCGATCCTCTCTCCCCTGCGCTATTTAACGCCGTACTCGAGCACATCTTTAGACAGCTAAACTGGGACCACTTAGGTCTGAACATTAATGGAGCTCGCCTAAACCATCTAAGATTTGCCGATGATCTGGTGCTTCTTGAAGAGAATCCAGCAACAATAGAACAAATGATGCAGAGCCTAGCAAATATAAGTAGAGAAGTTGGTCTGGAAATCAATGCCAGTAAAACAAAATTAATGTCAAACTCAAGGGAAATAGACGTTATGGTAGATGGCAACAAGATCGAATATGTCAAAGAATATATTTACTTAGGACAGATAATATCTCCTTCAGATGAAATGACAAAGGAAATAAACAGGCGAATAGCCCAAAGATGGAGAAAATACTGGTCACTGAAGGAAATAGTGAAAAGCAAGGATCTAGGAAATCACATAAAAAAGAAAACATTCGAGACCTGTATTCTACCAGTTCTTACTTATGGCTGTGAAACTTGGTCAACAACACTTTACCATAGGGAAAGGCTAACAAAATGCCAACGTGCCATGGAAAGAAGCATGCTAGGGTTAAAAATCAAAGACAGAGTCAGGAACGACGACATTAGAACAAGAACAAAACTCACAGACATTCTTACTCGGATAGACGTCCAAAAATGGAGATGGGCTGGACATTTGCTACGCCACCCCATTAACAAATGGAGCAAGCAAGTCACTCTCTGGCAACCAAGAGACGGCAAAAGAGGCAGGGGTCGTCAAGTCAGGAGATGGGAAGACGACTTGAAACAGACAGCGGGACCATTCTGGTTGAGAGTAACAAGGGACAGGAACCATTGGAAGGAATTGGAAGAGGCCTATGCCAAAAGGCACACCGAACTTAGGGACCTCTTGTAACCCTATGTTTAGGAATAAAAGGCTATTATTATTATTATTATAAATAGGGTCATTATAATATAAATTACTACATGGTTGATAATAAACCCTGGTAATGAGGTGGTCGCTTCAAAGCTATTTCTAAAATATTTTTTTTAAATATTTTGTAATCATTTATATTGTAAATATTATTTTTTTATAAAGTCCCGCTGGGTTTCTTGCTTGTTCTTCCCAGGACAGAGGATTTTTTCGAACCAGTGGTAAAGTGGTAAAGTAAAAAATGAGTTTCAATAAGAATTACTTGTAATCAATATTGAATAAAAATTATTCTATTCTATTCTATTCTATTAGCATTTTGAAAGGATACATGTAGGATTCTATGGGTCAAAGTAATTACTCACTCACACTCTCATCATCATTAACATATCATCTTATCAACAAAATAATCTAATATAGTGCTGGTTTATCACGTGATCATCGGTCAAGGAAAACATCGTGAGGAAACCTGCATGTCTGAGAATTAAGAAAAAAAATATTTCGAAGACGTGAAGTTCACTAACACGCATTGGGGCAGCGCGGCGGACATTTTTTTGCCCTAAAACCCTCTCAGAAATGAGACATATAGCCGTGACCCAGTAGTGGAACGTATATAGACTGTAACTGCGATAGTTCACTGTTGTCATATTTTGACATATTATAATATCGAAGAAAAGAAACTTTGTTAAATTAATAACATTGTATAATATTGAGGATTTCTACAGCATTTGTTTATGTTATGTTTGTGTGACACAATGACAGGTCTAAATATCTAATTTTATGAAATGAGTTGTACAGAAAAATATATTCAGATGATCCTTTTCTAGCGTGTACATGAAGTAACATTAATCATGCAAAATTATAATGAATTCTGTTAATTTGATAATAATAGGGCATGAATTTAAATAACATGGGTTTAGGAACCAGTAAGTGTATAAGATTACAAGTGTCTGATGTTGCTGTTATCAAAATATTTTAAATTCAACGTGATCACATTCATGACACATACAAACACGAGCATTTGATTCATATTTCAATAAACAACTGTTTATATGCCAACTGCAGCTTAACAGGCTTAACAGGCAGAAAAATATATATATAATAATAGTTTAACCACTAAATCCTAAAAGGCATCATAGGTTGACATATTTGTTTACTACATGGAAAGGACCAGAGTTTAAATCTTGAATAAAACGCACTCCCTAAAATTTGTTCTGCATAGAGCCTTTCTAATAAATCTATGAACTCTGCTCCATTCACTTCTTAATTTTCATTCTAAATGTAGACTTCTAGTACAATACAATTTAGGTTCATACACTAAGGTTTTACATAGAATACATTATATGGTAATAATTTAAAATTAAAAATTTTATACAACCGACTTCAATATAAATTATTAAGAATAATTCAAAAACGATTGGTCAGACCTTGATCAAATTTATACGGGACCACACTAGAAGCACCAGCTTTCAAATAAAAAAAGAATCATCGAAATCGGTTCACCCAAAAAAAAGTTATAGAGGTAATACACTTAAAAAAAAACTTACAGGCGAGTTGAGTACCATCTCCTTTTTGAAGTCGGTAGAAAACGAAATTACTACTTACTATTAGAAAGTAAAAAATATTTTTAATATAATAACACAATAACAAAATATTAAAACCATGTGCCTACATGTGACTAAATAAAATTCACAACGTCTAGTTTTGCATAATTTTTTTTAACAGTCACGAAGATTTACAGCATATAAAATTGATGTAAATTGCAATGGATAAATAAATACCAATCTCTTTAAATCTAAACTAATATTCTCACGCACTTTGCCTATGAAATACGCATCAGAAAATTTAACAACAACAATCTTAATGCATTTCGAAATAACATTACGATTCACTGAACAAGTTATTAGACAGGTTTAAATGTAGCTCTACCATAAAGAATATGTTTTCACTTTTACACATATCCTTATAGGTTATATTAATATTCAATTAACTAGTCATCGATCACTTACACGTTTTGACTGGCACCACATTCAATAAAAAGTGTTACGTCCAGCACGGTAAGTTTTGTAGTTATATTTTCACCGTTGTGTCGTTCTACGCACAGCTTTTCTAACGCGCCGAACTGAAGTGTTTGGTGCACTACCCATGTTAAATTGTGGTGTGCCTTGACTGGACCCAAAGTTATAAACAGGACTTTGAAATTGTTGAGACATTTGTTGCTGCTGCTGAAAAACAAAATAAACATTTCTTTACACATATATAAACAATAATTACACATGAACAAAAATGCCTGAGTCATTATAGACCAGTCATCCTTAGGTTGATGCATAAATGAAATAATAGGCTGAATTTAGACCATGATGGACTCAACGGAAATTAGTTGTCAAGGAGAGAATTAGATCACAAATGTGTACCCTCTATTCTTTAACTCAGATAGGACAACAATCCGATACGACCGGAAAGTGATCAGGCGCAAGGGCAAAGGCTTTACATGCTTTCCGAGGGACGGAAGTACAACACCGCTAATTGCCTGAAAATTCCAATAACTGATTCTAGCTCGACCCGGAATTCGAATCTAGGTTGTCGGTTCTTCGAGATATTTGACCGACTCTTTGCCACTTCAGCTTACTGATCTGCTAGACTTTCTGAATGTACCCTAGCCAAATTGCATTCATTTGGTCTTACCTAATCGGACACCAGATACACACATTTGTCAAGAAATTCAAAAATCGTGTTTCCAACAACTACCAGTATAGGTATAACATGAATGTTACACATGATTTTTATCTTATCCATATTTATCTCAAGACCTACCCATTGGGGAACACTACTGGGGTTGTGAGCATAGTGTCTTTTTTTCCTCTAGGCCCTAGAGGAAAAAAGGAAGGCGTGCGGGGGAGGAATGCACGCACAAGCGAATCGTCGGAACTTCGAACCGACCACTACTACTGTGTACATAAAGCCGTGTCTTGATCGTAAGGCTCTTAATTAGGCAAGGGGCCCACGCCCACCTCTGCTGGTCTCTGCGCCCCCCTTGGGTGGCGCGCCCCCCACTTTTAAAACCCCTGCTCTAGGGACTATTCAATAATGACTATATTGTGGGCAAATCGAAGATGAGTGATGTATTCGCCATTTATGTTAATACCGTATCCTTTCGGGTATATAACCTCACCCTGTCTTACACTGTACACATACACACTCTGCTGTTGAATATGTTTCTTATCTGATCACAACCTGAGTTCTATACTCGGATAAACATAGTTGTGTTACTATACAAGCACTCTTCTTATTTTAAAAGAAAAATGGCCTCATTGCTAAACCTATGATTCTCGCTATAGTCATGGTTGAAAAATTTAAGAGATTTGATTAATTTGATTACTACTACCAAAAAAAAACTGTTGAGGTGTATTTTGCATAGTAGGTTATGGAATGATTTTATTTAACTTAAGCACCTCAATATGCAACTGTCAGTTTGGCACTGCTGAAGGCACTATGGCACCGCCCAAATTTCGTCTGAATCTAAGCTTTCTCATAGTTCACATACGCCAGATATAATGGCAGATTATACTAATTTCTGTTTAACCTGCAAAAGGGTATGTTTGGTCTATGGCTAAATGGCCTTTTCGTAAACCGGCCTGTTCGAGAGGCTGGAAGTCGTCGAGTCAGCGTGAAAATCGGTCAGAACTGATTTCCCAGTATGAAATTCTTCAATTGGGTTTAATCACCTTTCTTGAAGAATAAAACTAGCACAGTTCTGCTCCACGTCTTTGGCTTAGCACCTCTGTGAAGGACGGAATTAAATAGCTTCTAAAGGGGATCAGTTTACCACCCGCTTTCAGAAGCTCTACTATAATTCCATTCTTACCCGATGCTTTGCGTTTTTAAGTTGATGCAGAGCTATTCTAATCTCACTAGATGGATGTGTGGGATATTATTAGAATAGTGTCAGATAAGACTTGCAGTTAGATTGTTACTCGCACAAGTCGCAAGTCGTAAGTCGACGATCGACGATCAAATCTACAATGTGTTCTACTATCCTACATATAACTTCTGGTCTCACTCAAAATCTTTGGTATTTCTTGTGCTCTTGAGACAAACAGATCTTTGGTGGAGGCCTTGATAACGCTCAATTGGTTCTTCAATACAAGCTATATTGCAGGTCTTGCCATATACATTAGAGCCTTCAAAATTCAATAGCCTGAAAACCAACATATTAGTTGAAGACTGCAGTCTCATTTCCTGACTAGCAGCCATTAAATTAAGAACATGATCAGTCAGTTGTAACATTATGCTTTGACAGTATGGACAGTTCTCATAAGCTTATCAATTATATTGTCCACCATATTGCAATCTTCGAGGCACTGGAAACGATTTTGTAGTAAATAAAAACTTGAGGACACTTCAAATTGTTCCTAAACAGCTTAAGGGACAAACTATGGAACTTGTGAATTTGAATGTATGACTGGAAATCATATCTCATTGAGGCTCAAGTTCACATGCAACAAATGAAATGTTGAAAGATTTCAACAGTTGTTTATGTGAAAGTTGCTGTTCAAGAATACCTCAAAACTGATTTATCAGGTAGACATCTTAATGGAAACCGACAGTCGTAACTAAGTGTTGATTACATTAATTTTACAAAATGTAAGTTATAATTGTTTAACTAATAAAATATTGTTTATTAAAAAATTTCTTCTTTTTTAATTTTTATGATGGACATTACATGCAACTAAAATTAAAACTTTCCGAGCTGGGCCAGACTGACAGGACATTGTGGGCAATCTATTTGTGAGGTCTAATGTTTAGCAGTGGACTTTTTACCAAAATCTTTTAAGCTAATAATAGAAATTAAACATTTTATTTTACCTGTCCAAATCCAAATACGCCAGTGCCAAGCTGTTGTGCGCCAAAATTAAAACTTGTAGCAGGAGCAGGGGCTTGCGAAGGGACTTCAAATGACGGCATTGTAGGATTGAGTGTAAAAGTATTAGTTACGGTAACATTTGAATGTTTATTTCCAAATACTCCAATAGCAGGAGTAGGGCCACTACTTTGTTGGGGCGAACCAAAAATATTTGGTGTTGTTTGATTCTGAGCTGGATTAGAAAATAACGAAGAAGCATTAGAACTTTGATTCTCTGTAGGAAATACATTCTGAGTATTATTAGTCCCAAATGCAGATCCAGCATTACTAGTATTAAAAGGTGTAGATGTATCAAAAGTAAATGTTGCAGCCCTTGATAATGGGTTGTTGTTAGTTGCATTTGGTAAAAACAAATTTCCAGAAGTATTGTTTGTACTTGACCAAATATTTTCATTTTGTGGTTGTAGTGGTGTAGATGCACCACTAAATATGTTACTTAACGGAGTTGTTGGTAAAATGTTGTTAGTTTTCAAAGCATTTCCTGTGTTCAAAGTATCATTTCCCGAGTCACTAACATTTATTTGATTTCCTGTTGATAGTCCATTATTTCCTGTTGGAAGTACATTATTCGCTGACAAACTATTACTGTTTATAGAACTTCCAGTTGTTAAGCCACTGCCACTACCAAGTGGGCCTCCTGGTACTGAAGGACCTGTTTGTACTGTATTTGCAGTTGGAAGAGCAAACTTGTTCGAATTGGTATTTGCATTTGTAGTTGCCCCAAATGTTGCATTAAATATAGATGGTGCATCCGTTTTATTTGTATTTCCGAAATTAAAATTAAATTTCGGTTTTTCGGGTTGAGATAAAGCAGTTTGATTGCTAGTGCCAAAGCTGAACAATACTTTAGATGTTGTAAATGCTGGAACATCATTTGCTGTTGTAGTGGTAGATTTGTTCTTTTGAAAGAAATTTAATGTTGATGGAACTGCATCAACTTTTTGGAACAATGATACTGCTGGAGATGTATTACTGTCACTTTTTTGAAACAATGAGGAAGAAGTGGTTACTGGCGCAAGTAGTGGCGAAGAATTACTAGATGTAGTAGTAGCATTTGCAACAGGGACAGTAAATGAGTTTGTAGCTGGTTTAAGACCTGTTCCTGTGAAAGAAAAAGTACTCGACTTATTTACATCACTTGCTGCCGTGGTTTGTAAAATTAAGGGTGTGAATGTTATGCTTTTTTCTACTACAATTGTGCTGGGTACAACTTCAGTTACAATAGGTTTAAGCGGTTTGTCATCAGATACTGCTGGTGTCACTGAAGATGTAAATATATTTACTGGTTCTTTAGGAAAATCTTGTGTTGATTTAGGGAGTTTGAACTCCACTGTTGGTACTTCCTGTGGCTTTTCAATTGAATTAATTACTGAATCCTGTTTCTCATCATTTTGTGTTAAATTCGTGTTTTTAGATGAATCATTCACCATTTGTTTTGGAATACCAAAAGTAAACTTCAATTTTGGAATCTCTGCCACATTTTTTGATTCATCGGTTATTGATTTTTCTTCAATTTTCTTTGTAGGTATACCAAAAGTAAAAGTTGGTGTATCAGCTAAAATATTATTGTTTGCCTCTAACTCTTCACTTTTAGATTTTTCTGTAGTTTTTTGTTCCATTTCTTTTCCTTCGCTTGATTTAATTTCTTGAGCTTTTGGATCAATTCCAAACTTGAATGTGGTATTTACATTCATACCAAAGTTGAAGTTTACATGTTTCGACTCTTTTACAGCCCCCGGTTTTTCTGTCTCACAACAAACACATTTAGTCTTATCACTATCATTTCTGACCAAACAGTTAGAACATTCCCATTTATCAGTCTGTGATTTAACAATGTTCTGAAATGTATTATCCTGTGGTTTAAATGAAGATGACAGAAGTTTATTAGTTGGGATAATTGAAATCATAGGTTTGCTCTTGAGAGTTGCACCAGGTTTAACTCCGCCACATGCAACACATTTATCTACAGTACTTTTATTATTAATCCAACAGTCATTACACTTCCATTCACTATCATTTTTATTAGCTTTCTTTTCAACAAGAAAGGACAATTTAGGATTTTTACCACCACAACAAACGCACTTTTCTGCTGTTTCTTCATTACTAACCCAACAATCTTCACATTTCCATTTCAAACCCTCTGAAACCGATAAGGTTTGCAACTTATTGCTATTACCTTTTTCAGTTCTTTGGCAATTAGGGCAATTAGGCAATTTACCAACATTGGTTTGATTTATTAGTTCAGAATTGCAGATTGAACACTTAACAAGTGCTTTATTTTCCTCGGTTATCTTTTTGGCAGAACAACATACACAATTAGTAACATTATCTTTATTTTTTACCCAACAATCTGGACATGTCCAATCTTTAGATATCTCGACAGACACTTTTTTATAATCATTATTTGGTGATGAACTAACAAAAATGTTTACATGTTTTTCCTTACTTACAGCTGTTTCTTCAATATTCTTCCCTGGAATATCGAAAGTAAATTTAGGTATTGTTGAACTAAATGGTATTTCTTTTGATACAATAACAGGGGTTGAAAATTTATAACTGTCGTTAGTTTTTTGTGTTTCTGACTCAACAAATTTTACACCACCTTTTGTTTTAAAGTCTAAAGAAGTTGAAGTTTCTGTCACAGGAGTTGTAATAGACTGAACCGTAGAAGTTGATGATTTTGATACGATAGGACTACCAAAATTAAATTTGGGTAAATTGTTTTGATCAATTTCCAAAACACCTGTGGGTAGCTTTACAGGAGTAGATACATTATTAAATTCAGAGCTTTCGCCTCTTTTTGTTCTTGTTACTCTGGATTTTACTTTTTTTATTAATTTATCACCATTATCCTTATTTGATGATTCACTGTAACAGAAAGTAAAATTAGCATATTATTAAAATATAATAAAATATAAATAGCAATTATAAACGTACAAAATGTGATGAACCAAGTCAATTTACTGGATAGTTTTTATTATAAAATATAGTATTCAATTATACCACTAATTAAAAGATATCTTTGAGGAGCATAACCAGAGATGATTACTTGTTAGAACTTCAATAAACCTTGAACTCAATAGAATGATGATATAATATCCAAAAAACAGTGTTGTTTTACAATATTCTATGTTTTAGTACCGAATTTGCCTTATTTAAAAATTATATAAATACTAGCTCGCCAGGCAGACGTTGTTCTGCCCTTTCCAACGTTCCTTCCTATAAAAATCCTTAAATTCGCAATAAAAAGTTTTGATGGTCATTTATCGGGATAAAAACTATCTTATCTCTCAAGTTGGACCAAAATGCACACAGTGTGCAAAATTTCATTGAAATCAGTTCAGTAGTTTAGGAGTCCATCGCGGACAAACAATGTGACACGTAATTTTTATATATAAAGATTAAGCGGGTGTGCAAGCAACTGACAGCATCAGTTTTTTCTTTTTGATTTTCTTCTTTTTCCTTTTTTACGTATTTTCATGCAGTTTCTTCTCAGTAAATATGTTTATACAGCGAATGTAAAAAAAAATTGCAGCATTTACAACACTTAATACATAAAGTGACTTAATACTAAGCGAAAACCAAATGTGTTAGAATATCCAGTTAGTTCAATAGTGACAGTTAAAAAATAAATGAACTGTATAATACTTAAGGTGACACAAGTCGCGGGCTCGAACTCGCTGGTGGGCGCGGCGAAAAAGCACGCTGTCTCACCTGGCATCGTGCCCGACAGAGATAGTATCAGTGATGAGCATATCGACACTAGTATTCACGCATGTCTTGTTCGTACGACATTCAGAACCGTTTGAACAAAAACGAAGTTACACGAACACGATGCAACATCTATACTAATATAATAAAGCAGAAAATATAGATCTTTACTCCGTCTAAAAAAAGTCCGCGATACCATATGTCTATTTTTTATATATAAGCTACAATTAGGCATTTTGATTTTGACAAAAAAAAATGAAAATTTAATTATTAGGCATGACATATTTATCCTTACGAACGAAAGTTACTTCATTATCAAGACAATTTTTTGAAGATAAAGTTCGTTCTTTATACCATGTTTATATAGTACATAGGTTAAGAGATAATGTAAAATTAAAATAATTCAATACTTGGCCTTGACGCGCAAACAACGCATAACCCCTAGCCTAGCCCGGTGCGAACTGAGAAGCCAGTATTGAAAGCTTCTATGAGCGAGGTTAGGTTAGCCGTTAGTTCAATCATTATCTATATCTACACAAATAAATAAAATTGAAGTGTCTGTTTGTAATGTCAAAATAACAGCTTTTTACTAATTGCATATGAAATTATATACGCTACTTATAACATTAACATAATTTTTAACATTTTTGTATGTCTGTCAGTCTGTTTGTTCCGGTTAATTTCCAAAACGGCTGGACCGATTTTGACGGGACTTTCACTAGTAGATAGCTCATGTTATAAGAAGTAACTTAGACTGCTTAAATTTTAGAAAAATTATTAGGTGTCCGTGCAACAAAATTAACACCCTAAACTAAATGCGGACGAAGTCGCGGGGAACAGCTGGTAGCTAAAATAAATTCAATATTAACTGAGTGCTTTTATCTATCTCCCAGGTGAGCGTAACAATGATTAGTTACATCTTTATTTCTGAACTCTTTCATTTCACGTTGCTATGGTATTTTGAAAGTTTAATTGATTAATAAGTATAAGAGGTTGATAGCAAATTTATCAAGAATCATTTCTTGCCTACACACTTTCATGTATCGTGTACGTTTTTCTTTAAAACTGGATAAAACCGCGCATAGTATGCCGACAGATAAAATAAAAGTACTCCATTAATTATGACAATTTTTCCATACATTATTATCAAATAAAATATTTGATTGCAATTATAAAATGCTTGAACTAGGTGTCATGTCATGCCACGCATCTCGGACACGTGATGACGCGGGTGAAACCGCGAAATTATTAGGCGCTGCTTTATTGCTTCATATTATACCTCTGTGGCTCTATATACCTAATATAGATTGCTTACTTTATTATGTTTAGTTTTTCCCGAGTGGTCATGCAGCGATCACTCAAGAGTTCGGCTTCGAACGTGTATAACTGCAAAAATTATCCAACGGGAACGAAATACCTGAATAAACGGTATCATATATGTTATTTACAGCTCCGTGGCGCAGTTGCTTAGCAATGAATTGTTGCACTGGCAGCCGCGGGTTCGAATCCCGCACGGAACAAGTATTTGTATGGCCTGCAAATAGTTGTTCCGGGTCTGGATGTTTGTAAACTGCCTCCACGATACAGGAGAAAATCCTAGTGTGGGGGTAACGTTTTTTTTTTAAATAATAAAATTCCAGACTATAACCTATCTCTGAGCAAAATATCATCCAGGTCCCTTCAGCGGTTCTGGTGTGATTGAGTAACATACATCCATTCATCCGTCCATCCAAATATCCAAACTTTCGCATTTATAATATTTAGATAATAGGTAATTGTAATTAGTTCTGCCTACCTATAAATTGTTTTCAAAAATACTTACCTGTCTTCTTACTTTTTTATATATACTCAATATCACTAAATGTAAACACAGGTTTTTATCAAGACAAGTGACCCATCAAGATTGTTTTCTTAGTACTGACGTACCTACCTAAAGTTTACAATTTTGTGGCCACGACGCGGTGACGTTTTGTGACATTTTGTTGTATTGTAGGTTGTAGGTATCTAGGTAATAACAGTAGGTACCTATGAAAATCCCACATAATGTACCTTGTTTGTCCGCCGCAAGAGTCGTCTAATAAATAATTAAACTGTTTTGTAATTCTTTATTTATTTATAACACTTGCATTGAGAGCCGTGGTAGCTCAGATGGTTAGCGCTCGCCGTAAGTATCACATTACGCGAGCAACCCGGGTTCGATCCCCGTCGGCACCAATGAAATTGTTGCAATTTTATATAGTAATCGTATATAGACTTTACTTTTTTTACTTTTATAATTATATTATATTACAGACGAAAATTTTACAATATTGTCTGTCGTCCAAAACGCATCATTCATCTCTTTCAATTATATCAATTTCCATGCTGTCTTTTGTCTTTGGCGTCCAAATTACAAAATAGCAAAACTTTTCGTTTCGAATAAAACTCGAATAAGCGCGCGTCACCGCCCGTGCATGTGTGTGTAAGCGTCGTCCTCCCGCACCGCACCGTGGGAAACATTATTCAGTGAGATGCACGATAATTCATAGTAACATACGCGCGTAAAAAAATACGAAAAGGCCTTTGGAAGAAGGAGTTTTATGAAAAAACCAACCAAAATTACGAATAAAATTTATTGAATTCTTCGATAATTGAGCTGTGTCGGTACCGACTTTGTTTTGGAAATTTTACACTTCTTTTATTACTAATTTATGCCCAAAGTTGTGTTAAAATTGGCAATAAAAACGAATCTTTGGTAGCCCGTAACTTTTTAATAACATTTTATTTTACTATTCTGTTTCCGTACAGACAAATTTAATAATGAGACAAAACGATATCATGTTTAACTTTGGATGTACACTGTCAAACAGCGTAGTAAAACCTCTCCGAAATTTGTATGGAAATATTGTCGACTAGTGTCACCTTAAGTATAAAATAATAAAAGCATAAAATGTCTTACCTCTGTATGCTGCACTTTGGATAAGGCGAGTAATTGACTGCACTACTGTGTGATGCAATAATTTGTCTTGCTGTATTTGTTGTATCCATGAGACGCGATCTCTGTTTCAATGACAGAATTGATGCAATACTTGGCACATGTAGTTCTTGTGTTTTATATGCTGAGAAAAATTATAACTTTATTATTGACCTTTCTCATTAATCAATAAGCACATTTTTAAATATTTATTTTTAATACTTACTAGAACTTCTATTAGCTTTCAGAGAATCGCTCTCTAAGCTTTTACTTAAGTTATCATTTCTGGAGAAATTAACATACTGTGATATTCGTTTAGCTTCTGACAGTGGTGATGAATAGTGTTCTAACAAATCCATAACACGTCTAGCAGAATGACTAATAGTATTATCATGAGGGCTACTGGATTCATTAACCATTGTAGTTTTGCATAACTTGATGTTTGGTTGATTCATGTAATATGATGCAGCTCCTCCATACATCGTTTTTCCTGGATAAAATAGTGAACCTAGCAAACTTGGCTTAAAATAAGGCTGTTCAGGATCTTGTGATGTGCTAGATGATTTAGCTACAAAACAAAAAAAAATTCTCAATTATGTTAAAATGTTAAGTATTATTCAAATATAAGTAAAAAGATAGTTTATGTAAGCACTGTAAGCACTAACTTTTTTTGACTTTCATTTTTATCACGTGCAATTGAAACTCTATATTTTGTTTATCATAGACAAATCACTACAGTCAAGCAGCATTTGCAAGATAGCATAAAGTACATGTGTAGTTAAAGATTGTGCAGCTATTTTTTGAAATTAAGTACTTTCGTAGTTACTTCAATTTTAGTTATATTGGATTTTTGTTACTGTTCAACATCATGATTGACAATAAAATAAAAAGGTACTTCATTAACACCAATGATTTTGACTAAAAAGGCTAGTTAAGGCGGATTTACACAGGGTCAGTTAAAAGTGCCAGTACTGGCGCTGAGGACTGATTCACACTATTTACATGCAGCCAGTAGTCGTGGTAACTTCTGGAGGGTGTGCGCATGTTATTGAAGTCAGTGGGCAAAAATGAATTCATGGAAATAGCAGAATTCAAGATTGAAATATTTGTTGAAAAAATGTTCCTATCTGCTGATGAAAGAGTTGACGGAAATGTTAGAAGAGATTTTGAAAAGGAAACGACTTTGGATAAGAAAATGAATAGACGATAGAAAAGAAACTGGAGATTGTGCTTTGTTGTTAACGCGACGTCAACCTACAATGCAGCACCAGTGACTGACCAAGTACTGACTTGGTTGTTTAGACAAGGTCAATACCTCAGGCTCGGGTGGCGGGGGGAGTGGACCGACTTCAAAATATTCAAGAATGATCAGGTCACTAGAATTGAATGAATGACACAACATGTCTACCATGAGCAAGTGTAGCTGTTCATGTCTGCAGAACAGTGTGGCATTTAGCCATGTTTAATCAATAAATATTATAATATTAATAATATTAACATTGTCCCAATTGGTCATATTTTTAATTTCTCATAGAAATTGTATTCATGTCTATAAATAATAATTTTGCATTTGTCATTTTTTTTATCAGAAGCTAATTCCTTTTCAAATGGTTCAAATGACTATATACTACCATTGTACAAGTCGGCATCTACTAAGCTTACTCGCAACTTCACCGCAGTTCGATTCACAGAAATTATAAAAAACATAAACAAATTAGGCATGATATAATTTAAAAAACTAATAAAAAATAAAATAAATGTAAGGATTTAATTATTTGAATATTTTTACCGATTATTGCATTAGCAAGAATTTTAATCATCCAATACTATGGTAAGATACATAACAACATATCATTGAAACAACATCAAGCAAAAAAATTGAAATTTGCTTTGTTTGAAAGATTCCAATTGAAATTAGTGATTAATAACTAAACATATTGTAACAAAATATAGATTACTTCATAATTCTTTGGATTTACGTAAAAGCTTATTTTAGATCATGTGAGTATGTTTGTACAAATTTACTGCGGAATGATTAATGTGAAATTTCAAAAGGTATTTCTTAGATTTGGTGGAGTGTAATCATAAGATTATGACCTTTATAAATAGATGACGACAAACACTAAAGGCATTTAAATTATCAATAATAAAGTAACTGTGATTAAACTAAGTAAATTAACTAATACACATATTTATATCCATAAAAGATTGTTAACATTCTTTTTCTAGTCTTGTCAACGTTATTATAAATATATAACTCACCAGATGCATTTTTTGAAGAGTCTTTATTTAGCATGTCAAAAAGCGACTTTCTTTGTCTAGCAACTGAAGGACCTATTGTTGAAAGAGAATGTTGTGGTTTAGAAACAGTTGAGTCTTGTTCATTTTTCTCAGTGGTTAATTCACTAACTGTAGAATGAATACGAGTAGATACATAATCAGGTTCTCTTCTGAATGTTGTTCTACTAGGATGGGATTGTAGAGCTGTATATGTTTCTAAAGAATCAACATTACTTGCTGTAGTACTGTTCACCTATAATAATATAAAAATTAATTTCATAAAATTTAAACTTATTTAAAAGAAATATTTTATAATAAAATATATCATGAATATTTTCAAATATATATCTTACATCAGATTGTCCAAAGTCATTTAATTTTCCAGAAGAATTATAACGCATCCTCTTTGGAGGTGGTTGTGATAATGTTACAGGGCTTTCAGGTACCTCATCTTCAGAAGATGAATCTGTTGCATCAGCTACTTGAGCAGAACCATTGGTATTGGAAGTACATGGAGTACTAAACCACTTTTTGATTGAAGAGGGCAATAAGTATGATACAGTAGATGATACATTCTTGACAAATGACTGCAAAAAAATTGTGTTAGTTTAATAGCTTATAATTAATCTAATCAATTTTATTTAGTGTGAAATGTTTTAATCTGATTCAAGGAAGAAATTTAGTGTGTGGGCCGCTAAATTTCTTTCAAATTTCACATTTCATTCATAAATTTCACTATTTAGTGGACTGTAAAACATACAGCCTCTGTTTAGATATGGCAGTAAATAGGCACTGTACTTTTTTATTTGTTTTTAAAAGAAATAATATCACAAGGTATGCTTTTTCTAGTATGCATGTTTTAAAATATTTCGTAAACACACTTCTATATTATATATACATTTCCCTCTCTGATTATGGACTCACACAATTACTAATTTTAGCAATGTCGAGAATTTAGATTTTATTTCTTTAAAACTTGTTCAATAGGTTTTCCACAATAATTTGATGCACCATATCAGTTTTTAAAAGTTTGATTTTTGAATTGGTAATAAGAAGATAATGTTTATATGTTATTATCACCATTTTGCTACTTAGTAACCTTCTACAAAATCCAAGTGATGAAATAGGGTAATGAATTCTCTTAGGATTTAGGATCTATAGGATTAGGATTAGGTTTGGAGTACTTGTTTTATGTATTCTTTGTTAAATATTGAGTATCATTTAAGCATTTTTGGGTATTGACATATTATTAAGGGTTATTTTGGAGCTTAAAAGGTAATTTTGCATAAAAATAAAAATTAGAAATAGCACACTGATAATTTCTTTTCGTAATTTGAAATCAGGAAAATGATTTTTAAAACCATCAAAATCATAGGTCTACATTACAAAAATAGAACACTACATTACCCTGATAAGACAACCATAACCCCTAACTTTAACCATCATACATTGTCCTGCCCTTGTTGGTAGGTGGTGTGATGTTTTAGTGTAAATTTATTAATAACTCAACCATGCCACTTGTTATGTATCAGGTCAAAATTTTGTAATAATCTTTTTTGCCTCTAAACACAGTCTTTTGGTTCCATAAATATAAAATTAGTTTATAAATTGGTAAGTGCTACCTGTCAGATCCTAGCATAGCTATAAGTCATGAAACTTATAAAATTAAAAAAATAATAAAAACTGCCTTTCCTAAAATTTGCATGAATAGATAATTTTGTTTACTACTGCTTTAAAGGTGTATTATGGGATTATTAGATTCTGCATTTTGGGTCCCTATATCTGTAGGATTATTTTAAATGTTAACTCTGCCTTTTTTTTCACCTGTGTTTACAGGTACTCTTTAACTATCTTAGAGGAAATCATATGCATTATCCCACAGCTTGAAAAAGACCTTCTATGTCGCAGACACTCTTGACTGCCTTATATCAAGTCCTTTACACTCTAAGTTAATATACCCCCTAAATTCAAAGGTCTCAGTACAGCTGTTATAAAAGTATGTTGTTATGGCATCAATTTGTAGTCACGCGAGATTCAGGGGAATGAATTGGCAGATGTAAATAATTACAATTGATCTTTTACGGCGACTTAGCACTCTTTGTGTAACAACACATTGAGAATTAAAGAAAATCCCATCATTATTTTAAATAAATATGAAGAGAAATGTCCTAGCTGATTTTCACACCCAATGATGTGCATAGGGTCCTGTTTATTATAGTGTCTAATGCCTACCTAGGTATTTTATATCATGCATACATATAATATATAATTATAGAATATGTAATTAATGGCATTACATTAATGATAAAACGAAGAAGCCACAACCACTTTCCAGAATTACCTATTGTCATATTCCATTCCTATAAAATATGTAATATTTATTAGATATTATTAGGTATATTTTATTTTTATTTTATTTATTTATTTATTTCTCACCACAAACGACATGGACATTGGTTACATTAGTGTTACATCTCTATTTAACAATATTATGTCATTCGTGGGAGACTGGTGCCCGTGTAGGTTCAAAGACCCGTATTACAGGTCACCAGTCCCCCCCCCCCCCGAATTTACTAGGCACTTAGTATAATATACAGAGATAACTTATGTTATGATTAGAAATTATATTATATATAGCCAATTGAATATATATATATTATACATTCAATAAAATAATATAGAAGATTATGTCTTATTTTTCACTTCTGCTAAGCATAAAGATTTCTATCAAGGATAACATATTTTAAATTTAACTATATTATCAGCAAGGTAATGAATGTAGTTTTGAACTTTACACAAACAGCTTTAATATTTTCTTTATTCTAAAAATTTTCAGTTTTCATGACCACAAATTAAGTTCTTGACGCCAAGCCTTAAGAATTATCAACTAAAATATTTTAAAAATGCTACAATTGTAGTCAACATGTAAATTGTGTGAAATTTCATTCTACACTATCAAGATTTATAAATAGATATTTATTTTATTTGTTAACCAAACAAATTTATGAAAATAAATAGTATCATTCATTATGTTTTTACGAATTAAAGATGTATTCTTATGGAATTTTGCATTTACTAAAATGTTTCCCTATAATCTTTATTCAACTGTTTACTAATACAAAACTGTTTTACTAATATGAAATATAAAACATTTAAAAGTATAGCAAAAAAATTTGATTTGCAAAATATAAATCCTCATAGGGTAATATATCGTCCCCAAGGAATGCCATAAAGCACAGTCCTGAGCCACCTGCATTTTTTTAAATTTCTACATATCTTACTAGGTAGCCCATGTATTGGGGAGCAGCACAACACTACATTATATATTTACACAAATATAAGCTTTAGCTATGATTTGCAGTGTAGGCCACCACATAATAGGAAACACATCAAATCGAACTCATCATCATCATTACAGCCTTTCATAAGTCCACTGCTGAACATAGGCCTCCCCCAAGGAATGCCACAAAGCACGGTCCTGAGCCATCTGCATCCATCGACTTCAGGCATGTCTTACCAGGTCGCAACTACATCCAGTGGGAGGGCGGGGGAACCAGAAGCTTGAGAACTCTGATTACTAAAGATATTTAAGTAAAACATTGATACAAAAAATCATGAATAATAAATTCATGAACTGCAGTAGCCACTTACCCTCTGGGGATTCTAAGTTTATCACTCAAGACAAATCAATTATATATTGAAATTTCATTACTTAAAAATTATGCAACTTTAGAAAGAATAAATATATTGATTTTAGATTGACAAATTGCGCCAGCAATAACACTAAGCTATGGTAGTCAAAATTAACACTAAGTAGCAGACACTTAGCATCACTTGGAATACTTTTCATTAGCTGTAAAACTAGGATTATTGAAATTATGCAAAAAAAATCAATAAATGACATCATAATTCCTGTATTCAAATAAACATCTTATTAGTATTTCTTTAGTAATCTGTGGCATGAATATATGCTCGCCGTGTGGGCAAGGGAAGGGCGAATCCTACCCCTAAAAGGTGGATGTGCCGGAAACCCACCCTCTTTTATCAATTTTTGAACTTTTATTACATATATATATAGTTTTAGTCACATTCGGAATTATTGAGGTTATGTTTTTGTAATATTTTTGACTATATAAACCTGATTTGTGGGGGGAGAGTTGGGGGAGGGTAGCCAAATGCTACTCAACATGGCGCAGTCGAGGGAAGCTCGGTCGACGGAGGCCCACCTTGCGGGGCTCCTATTTCTGGATGGTTTATAAAAACATAACCACGAAGGAGACCATACTATTGCTATCCCCTTCTAACCTAACCTGTCCGAGTCGAGGTGCCCCAAGTCCCGAGCTCGCTTTGCTCGATCTTGCACCAAATAAAACACCAAATGTTAACTTTTATAATTACTTTAATAAATAAACATATTTTATTACTTCCACCATTTCCAAAAACGTCGTAAAATAGCAAGCAGTCGGTCTTCAGAGGGGTAGCGAAGTCGTCGAAAAACAAGAGGCAGATAATAACAATAAGGAGCACATCCACGTAAACTTGGAAGCAACGGAATGACACTTATGACACGAGTTGCAAAGTCGAAAATAGTCATATGATGTAGTGATTATACTCTCTTTGGTAGAGTGTATCTGTTACTGTCAATGTCAAAAGTTCAGTTTCAGGTACTAATTAGTAATTTATGAATATTTTTAGAAAATAATTTTAAATATTTCGACGCAGCTCCAGCACCTAAAATTGCATGGCGGCGCTTGAGATAAGCCTCCTTGACCCCTTCACAGTGACAGACTCTTAAAAATAAATTTAGGCGACTTGATTCTAAGCCCAACCCTAGGATAGCACTATAAACTGATCATACAAACCATACTTTTGCTACCTCTTTCTAAAAATTATATTGTTGTTGCGTGTTATTTTTTAAAACAGATACAGACTATGCTCAATTGCTGTCTCTTTCTAATAATTATATTGTTATTTCGTTTTTGTATCATTTTTAAATGGATATAACCTCAAAACTATAATTATCGATATCTCGAAAACTAAAGATGGAAAGACTTTCCATTTACTCCCATCGAGTTGCGGGTTGATACGTATTTTTACAGAAAAGTTACACTATTATAAGCACACACACAAAGTTACAATATGCGGAAGCGCGTAATTTTTGAGAAAAAAGTTATTGAAAATCAATTATTCTTACATTCTTTATGTCTAATCCTACAATAAAACTGACGCCATTTCTTTATTGTTATTGTCATTAGGGATGTCGATTCTTCCCAAAAAATATCGATTTTTTTAAATAGATTCGAATTGTAAGCTGATATATCGATTCCCGAAAAATCGATTTCTAAAATATCTATATTTTTTCATGTTTGCATTTATAATGTAAATATAAATCCATTTTATGAGAAAAAAATCCCCTTCATCATAAAATATAGGGGGACTGATTCAGAAGGATTTCTGTACCTATTTTGAGACTGCTACGTCTCCGGCGCTGCGGGAAGAGCAGCCTCTACGCCTTAGCGTAACAAATCGCAGGCATCCGTCCTTGAGGCTGCTCCCCCTACGCGCCTCCGGCTTTATATAACCACTCTAGGGGTAGGACAGACTCGTACCAGGTGGAGTCGGGGTCAAGCAATTTGGTTCTTTGACATAAGTTGAACCTAACCTATTTTATTTGTTATCTGCCCTAATTGGTACTGTTAAAATAAAACAAAATTCAATAAGAGATCATTTATTATGGTATCTTTCTTGTTTTTCATAAAATGGAATTATATTTACATTATAAATGCAAACATAAAAAATATAGATATTTTAGAAATCAATTTTTTATGAATCGATACATCAGTTTACAATTTGAATCTATTTAAAAATCGACCCTTTTGGAAAGAATCGACATCCCTACTGACGACAATGACATTACAAAATGGCGTCAGTTTTATGGTAGGATTAGATATAAACAATGCAAGAATAATTGACTTTCAACAACTTTTTTCTCAAAAATTTCGCATTTCCGCATGTTCTAACTTTGTGTATGTGCTTATAATAGTGTAACTTTTCTGTAAAAATATGTATCAACCCGCAACTCGATGGGAGTAAATGGAAAGCTAAGCCCTAAAGATTTCCGGCATAAAAAACAGCTAGATGCTAATCAATAGCATCATTGCCTGTCACCTAAAGCTAAAATGATCACTTAAATCGTGCCTCAGATTACTAAAGCCAACGCAACTTATTTAATCTATTTCGTATATTTTCATTATTTACTTAAAACTAACATTTTATTTATGATGGTGTCTACTACTTAATTACAGTGTATCTGCTTTCTTAGTACTAAGACACAGTATGGCAAAGAACTAAAGCCCCAACTTAAGAAGCTATTATGTGGAAATTATTTCATTCTTTTTACTTTTCAAGTTGGTTTTTACTTTATATGAAAATGTTTTTCTACTACACATTTGAGTAAACTAAGGAATATCTCAAGTTTAAGGTAACACAACTGGAATGTTGTCTAGTTACATTACAAACTCCATCCCCTATTTCTACAACAGATGTGCAATTTTATCCTCTTTATAATTAATAACATATTTAATAATAGAAGAAATCATTTAAATTAGTTCAGCAATTACTAAGAAATCTATTAAAACAAATAAATGTTTTTGAAATAGTTTTACATTAAAAACTAAATAAGATTTTTTATGCTTAATTATTGAAGACACCATATTCAACAGAAAACTTGTGAAGAGCTATAATTATGATCATGACAATTATTATTTTGTTACAAATAACTTCATCTATACAAGTGAATTATGGTGATTGCATATCGTTTGGGGTTGTAAATCATATGTACATTATTAAGTCAGTTTGATGATAATCATTAAACTGCTCACATCTGAAAGTTTGTTAGGAAAAGCTGTTTCTTAAAAAAGAACATTTTTTTATACATATATAATTTTTACTCGCCAGCAACCTTAAATAATAATAAACAAATCTGTTATAAATACTACTTTTGATTCAATCTAAGTTTGTGAAATATTCTATAATTAACATAGTTAATCATAACTTTTCGTTATAAATTCCTTTTTAATTCCCGATATTCGTTTACCAAGGACTTTAGACATAACAAGAAACATGCATGACAAACTTGTAAAGCCAATAAATTCTAATATAACTACATAAGAATATATAAACAATAAACGCAATAAATCACATCGCAAAACGGCACCGTCTATGAAATATATCTTAATAAACTCTGCGTGAGTCCACATATACATTATCCAAAAATATATCAAAAGCGGGAATTCAGACAAAACTTACATTACTTTCCTCCTCGTGTGAATGTGAACGTTTCTTTTTATTGTTCGGTGTTCCTTTGTTCATATTTGTAAAAATTAACAGCGTTGTGGTCAACAATACGCAATGACGCTGTTCCAAATTAGATTTTCGGTTAAAATGAATTCACAACTGGCAAAAACGTGACAAACATGGCGTCTTCAGGTTGAGATGTCAGTATCAGTACGACTTGGGACTTGGGAGGTTGTCCAGTTTATATTTTAATGATGCAATGAGAGAAAAAAAGTATTTTAATGGATTCAAACACAATAATATATTAGCTAAAAGAAAACTACCGTTGGGAAAGCGAAAATTCACTTAATAAAACGACAAATTTCACGTTACCGCTTCGAACACAGATTACTAAGAGGATGCTATAAATCATAGATTAATAAATATTTAGTATTAGTCATAGATAAATATATATGTAGCAAGCTAGTATTAGTATTAAATAAATACTAATACTACTTAAATACGGAAAGGATTTACTTGTTCCTGCTATATGTCATATATGCAACCTGAGTTTTTCATCAGGTTGCTTCCCTGATGCCCTCAAGAAAGCCCTAGTTCACCCCATTCACAAGAATGGGGATCGAAGCCAGCCCAACAATTACCGCCCCATTTCTGTCTTACCCGCCTTGTCTAAGATACTGGAGAGACTGATCAATAACCAGTTAATCGATTTCCTAGAGAAAATGAACTTATTGTCCCCTGGACAATTTGGTTTTAGATCTGGCAGATCCACAGCAGATGCGGTTCACTCTCTTACTGATCATGTGATCAGAAACTTAGACAAGGGTAATAAATGCCTATCGGTCTTCCTCGACTTGGCCAAGGCGTTTGACACGGTTTCCATTCCCATTCTCCTGACTAAGCTGGAGGCAATGGGTGTCAGAGGTACCCAACTATCTCTCTTCCGAAGCTATTTTTCAAACCGTAACCAGGCTGTCATTATCAATGGAAAAGTGAGTTCTGAACTATCCATGAATTACGGTGTCCCCCAGGGAAGCATTCTTGGCCCTACGCTTTTCTTGGTCTACATCAATGACCTCTGCTCTCTCAAAATCCCTGGCTGTAAGATTATCTCCTTTGCAGACGATACCGCGCTAACTTTCTCAGCCTGCTCCTGGAAAGATACCTTCCAACTTGCCCAATCCGGTTTAGACTTAGTCTCCCTCTGGCTCCTTACAAATCTACTCACTCTCAATTCCAAAAAAAACTCAGTATATCACCTTTTCCCTTCACAGCATTCCACTCAATGCATTTGACAATTTTCGCTTAATTGCTCATTCCCATTCTGACCTCCCCTCCTTCTCATGTAACTGTCTACCTCTTACCTCTTCGGATTCCACAAAATATTTAGGTATTATTATAGACAGTAAACTGACCTTCCAGCCCCACATCAACCTCACCGCTTGTAGACTCCGAAAACTCATGTTTGTTTTTAAAAATCTTCGCCAAGTCGCAGATCCGTGTCTGGTCAGATCAGTCTACTTAGCACTTTGTCAGTCACTTATAGTTTACTGTTTAACAACCTGGGGTGGCGCGAGTAAGTCAATACTAATCAAGTTGGAAAGAGCCCAAAGAGCGGTCCTCAAAGTCTGTACGTTCAAGCCCCTGTTATCACCAACCTTCGATCTTTACCAGTATTGTGAGGTTCTTTCCGTGCGCTAACTCTTTATTTTATTAATTGTCCTCAAACAACATAGTAGTTGCAGCTATGATCCCTCTTTACTGTCTTCCCAGAGAAATCACCTGGTAGTACGTTCAACCTCGTTCAAAACCGTGACCTCACAACGATTTTTCTGTTTCTTGGGCCCCTTCCTTTACAATAGACTACAACGTGAGCTCAACATCTTTCCTCTTACAAAACTGTTATGCAAATCTAAAGTCTCTAATTATTTGCAGACTATGAACTATGAGGAGACCGAATCTCTCCTTCATCCTATCAGGTAGGAAATATACTATAAATAAAATATACTATAATATATTCATACCCAACACACCCACTCCGACACAAACACACACACACACACCCAACCACACACCCACCCACACACATACGCCATTCACGCGCACACGCACCCTCTTCCACACACACACACACACACACACACACACACAAAACATTTCCTTCTTTTCTTTTTTTTCTTTTTTTTTTGTTACTAGTTTCATCATATTCTGCACCAATATGACCTACATCCTGTGAGGAGAGACCTGGTGCTCTGAAACACAGGCTTTCAGCCTATCTCAGACGCCAGTCTTTCACAATCTAAATAATTTTGTTCCTTGGTGTTAACCCCAGTTCATAATTCATTCAGTTCATATATTAGTTTTTAGATTGTGGAGAAAATAAAGAATTTTTATTATTATATTATTATTATTATTAGTATTTAGTATGCTATAAATGCGGCAAAGAGTATAGGATTCTACCATAGATTATTAAGAGGAATACTGACTTAGAGATGAAGCGTATATACTAGAACAGATCCAGGCACTAGGTATAGGTATTAAGCGAGACTAGGTTGCACCTGTCCAAATTTTAAAAGACTTGATCCACCTAGCCTCACTGTGTCTACGCGTCACACGGCACCGGCGCGGCAGCGCGCTCGAATCGAACACGTACCGGTGCGACAGAGCGAGATAGCATTTTGCTGCCGTAGTTACTAGTCTGCTTTGCCACTCACTTGTGTTTTCCCAAATCATTCGTGTGTTAGTCATATGGATTGGAACTTTATTTCAATATATATAAAAGTAACGCGACGCACACTCATATTGTGTAAGAATATGTTCTGTACTTTTTTAACTACACTATTCCGCAGTCTTTCTACTCTTACCGAGTGATGCCGCCCGTCCAGCCACGCTATGCATCGACGTCGTCAATTCGACCATTATTTATTTCTTCTAGTAGTAATTAGTACAGTACCTAACTTACGATAAGCAGATTTAGTAAAATGCAAATGTCTTGTGGATCAGTTCTTCCACTAGTCAATTTCTTCAAGGTATGATGCCGTTTCTAAAAGTTTTGTGAAGTGCATGCGTTCAGAGTTCATAAGATTTATTACTTTTTTCAGAATAACATTAAATTCAGTGTCTGCAACAATTAATCGTTCAACAAGTTCTGATTTTCCAAAAAAGAAAATCGGACATCGACGACTATGCAGCTTTCCCGATGTTTGGACGATAAATTATTCGTTTACTAGCCCAGTTCCAAAGAATAATTCTAAAGCACATTGCGCATTTTTAAATAAATATAAGATCATAACATAACGCATTGTGTCAAAAATACTTCTGAGATAACTCATGGCGGCCAAAATGGCTACAAAAAACCTGTCTTTTTAATTGTTGTTTTATTAGATTTGTAAAAGAAATTCTCGATTATTTTTACCTTCCGTCCGGATATCTGACCTACTGGACCTTATACACATTTATTCTAAAGCCTCTCCAATTGATAATTCAAAAGACAATTTTCCATTGAAACACTGTGTACACACACAAAGTATAGATTCGATACAATTTTGAAAAAGAGTTAACATTATTTCAAGACGATGGATAAATGATAAATGATACTACATAGCCATATAGGTTCATATTCGATGCTTAAATTAAATCGCCATTTGATACTTTATATTACAACTAGCTGGCCAGGCAAGTCAATCCTCTATCTACGACGCAGAACGACAATGGCTTGACGTACGTAATTTTTGACGTAAGTCAAGCATATTCATTGTCATTATTTTTGACGTAAGGCAAGCATATTCATTGTCATTATTTTTGACGTAAGTCAAGCCTATTCTTCGTCGTGCATCGTACATGACCTTGGCGGGACAATCAATTTCAGAAGCTAAGGCTTTAGCGTCTTCAAGAACGTGAACGTCATCTGAACGTGAGTTTTCAAAGAAGTCTTTTGTATTTCTAAGTAATATAATGACGAAAACTAAGTCAATTAATGCAAAGTAAAATTTTACTTTGCATTAATTTACTAACAGGGTTTATGCGATTCAAAGTTTCGTACCTAATTATAAAAGAACATAAAAATTTAAACTGTTTAATTTGTTACAACAAACCCCAAGCTTCGTATCGTTTGGAGGTATCCACATCTGTTTTGGTAAACACTAAACAATGCATCGTAAACTTGTCCTACACCCGCGTCTTATTCGCTTTGAAATTTGTTGCATTTAATTTGAGTCTTATGACAAATCAATAAATCTGAAATTGTATAAAAAGCGCGTGTGCGGGGTGAGCGTGGGATCAGCGCGGAGCGGGAACGAGGCGGGCGCGTGACGGGCGCGTGGCATGGGCGAGGCGTGTGCTGTTGAACGTCGATAAATGCAATTTCAGATTTATTGATTTCTCATAAGGCTCAATTTATATGCAACAAATTTCAAAGCGAGTTAGATGCCGGTGCTGACGCTCGTGGCGTGCGCGTAGCGGGTGCGTGTCGTCGGAACGCGCCCTTAGTGATTTTATTGTTTCGATTCGACTTTCCCATCTCGTGTCACTAAGTGGTTTTAGAGTAATACCTTTTACATTCCTCAAAAGAATTGACCACCTTAATGTTGAAGTGAAAAAAAAACATATATATTTTTTCATAGTATTAAAAAATTGTAGCTTCCATTGAGGACATTTCCATGTCATTTACCACTAAGTATAAAGAATGACTACTGCAAGGAACGTAAAATGCCCGTGGATTGATGTTTTTAATCCTGGCTTGGACGCCACTTTGAATACCTTTCATATTAGATCTATTATCGTACCCTTGCTCTCTTATGTTTTCTAAAGACAATCCAAATGCCGATAATTGTTCCACGATAATTTCTGTCAGTACTGTAGATTTCTCTATTGGTATATCCTAAAAAACTTTCATTTATCACAAAGTCTGACGTTCTTGAATGGTCTTGGAGTTGAATAATAGAAATATACCTAATTATCACGGTCATCTGCTCAGTTTTGCTAGCGTCTGGAGTACAATCTAAAATTATAGAATAATATTTCGATGTAATGATAGCTTCCATAATACGTTTTTTATGCCGTCTGAAATTGTATTA